GTAACCCATAAGTTTGTTTTCTATGTTGGTGACTCTGTCTCTGTTTTGTAAATAAGTTCATTTGTGTCCCTTTTTTAGATTTCATATGTAAGTAATGATTTTTTTTCTCTTTCTGGCTTACTTCACTTAGTATGACAATTGCCAGTTCCATCTATGTTGCTGTAAATGGCATTATTTTATTCTTTTTATGGTTGAGTAGTATTCCATTGTATGCATCTATACATAACTTAAGAAATCAGAAAACTGGAAAAAGGAGAACAAACTAAACCCAAAGCTCACAGAAGGAAGGAAATAATAAAAGTTACAGCAGAAATAAACACAATACAGAATAGAAAGATAACAGAGAAAATCAATGAAACCAAAAGTCAGTTATTTGAAAAGGTCATCAATATTGACAAATGTTTAGCTAAGAGGACTAAGAAAAAAAAGAGAGCTGACTCAAATTACTAAAGTTAGAAATTAAAGTGGGGATCTCACTACCAATTTTACAAAAATTAAAAGCATTACAATAGAGTACTATGAATAATTGTCCACTAATGGATTAGATAACTTAGTTAAAAAGGACAAATTCCTAGAAACACAAAAACTACAAGACTAAATCACAAAGAAAGAAAATATCAATAATCTTATAACTAATAAGGAGATTGAGTCAGTAATAAAAAAATCTCCCAACAAAGAAAAATCTTGGACCTGATGGCTTCACTGGTGAATTATACCAAACACATAAAGAAGAATTAGTACCAATCAAAATTTTCCCAAAAATTGGAGAGGAGGGAATCTGTCCTAACACATTCTGTGAGTTTAGCATTATCCTGACACCAAGCCAGACAAGAACACTACAGGAAAAGAGAACTACAAACCAATATCTCTTTATGAACATTGAAACACAAGTCTTCAACAAAATACTAGCAAACCATATTGAGCAGCAGGTATTATACCATGACCAAGTGGGATTTATTCTTGGAATCCATGGATGATTCAACATACGACTCTATTGATGTAAAGCACCGATTCAACAGAATGAAAAAAATCCACATGATTGTCTCACTTGATGCAAGAAGTGAGATGATCCCTTTCATTAAAAAAAAAACCCTCTGTATAGCACAGGGAAATATACACAAAATGTTATGATAAATCACAGAGAAGAAAGTGTGACAATGAGTGTGTATATGTCCATGAATGACTGAAAAATTGTGCTGAACACTGGAATTTGACACAACACTGTAAAATGATTATGAATCAATAAAAATGTAAAAAAAAATAAAATAAAATAATGTAAAAAAAAAACCCTCAACAAACTAAGAATAGAAGAAAACTAACTCAACATGGTAAAAGCCATAAATG